GGGGGGGGTTAAAGTTACTTCGCGTGGAAAGTTTAACGTTTCTAAACAGGGAAAGGTGTAGAATAGTACTTAATATCATACATGTATTATACATATATCATATGTTAATTTTAAAACTATGATTGTTAATAACTTTTTAACGAAGGACGAGCGACGGCTAAAACCTGTTGGACGTTACTCAGAGTCGTATCCTTGAGAACATGTGTCAAGGTCATGGTAATTGTGGAGAGTCCCCTGATCTAAAGATTTACCGGTTTCACTACTGTTAAAAATAACTTCAACGCTTAAGATCTCAAAAATGATAAGAGTCCGCCGCCTAGTTGTTAAGGCAAAGTTACTCAGAATCATGACCTTGACAACATATGTCAAGGTTAAGGTCATCGGTGAGGTGTCCCCTAATCTAAATAATTACCGTAAATTGACTATATTCCAAGTGTATTTCTTCTGTATGAAGTTAAATAACAAATTTCACTTATTTAATCAATAAAACAAGACATTCAAGTAATACACATCACATTTAAAAGTATAAAGAAAATAAATATCTATAAGTTAAAGAGACTTGCCTTTTTCTAGAATATCCTCGATAGAATCTGTAAGAAATTTATTGCGAAGAATATATTGTGAAAGTTTCAGTGGTCGGAACGGTGAGGACGCCTACGAGACGGAATACAAGATCCGAATTTAAATCCTAATCAAGATATAGTTTTGTGCTTAGACAAACTTTTTTAGAAAGCATATAAAGATAAATTAAATTACATGTGCATATTATATTGGAGACTTTAAGCTGAGTAACTTAATATCCAAGTATTTTATAATTTAACATTAGAAAATGGAATCGGAAATGGAATTTCGTAATATTCAAGATGAACTCAATAAGATAAATCCCATGGAATTATTAACTCCAAACGAAATAATAGATCAAATACAACTTTATGACACAACTGTGTAAGTAAAATCTTATTTTAAAAAATATATATTAATTAATATATATCATGGGCGTTGACTATAGTGTGGTTGATACTCCATACTCGAAATTTTTCCATATGTGTAATTCCACACTTGGAAATCCGAAGAATATAAAAATTATTTCTTGATGAAATAATTTATTATTTAATATTTTATCAAAAATGAAAGTTGATTAAAGTAAAGTCGTATGTTTACAACTCGATCGGCGGTTGTCGCTTTTACTCGTATAACCCTCGATCGGTATTTTACTAGTGCTTAGAAAATAGAGATAAAAAATGTAAAAGATGTCGTAAACTTTTTAAAAGAAGATGTGAGAGAAATTGAGTTAAAATACACAAAAATGATAGAACTCCTGTTTATAAATTGTGCAACATCCTGTACTGCGGAAAGATCTTTTTCTTAGGAGATTTTATCTATCGACAAAATCGATTTTGTATATCGATTGTTTGTCGATCTGTAAATCCCTAAAGGGATTATGTAAAACTTAAATGAACTTTAAGTTCACAATCCCACCTGCACCGATTTTCCGCGTGTAAGGAACCGAAAAATTACTTTATCTGGTGATTAAGAGACCAGCGCCGTTCAGATCCGGCGTTAAACTGTTCGGTATACTTTCATATAGGTCTCTATATGAAAGTATACCGAAGAAGGCAACGGGAAACCACTTCGGTTTATTTAATTCCCAGGGTATCACTGGCGAGGAAATCATGGCCAACGTCCGGGGGACCGGATAAGGCACATGAAGAGGAAGGAGATTTAAAATTATTATGTTAAATAGTACAGCTGTGCTGCATATATTCATTCGGATGTTGTACAAAATCTGGATGCAGAAGCTGTAATGGACGGATTTATAAGCAGGAAAAGTAAAAGTGTTGCAACTGCATATTGGTATATGTTTGAAAAAAGTACGAAAGTGACGCAACTCCCTTAATAAAAAAGTAATAATTATTTACAGCGATTTGTGTATACATTTTGCGAGGACCTTTTTGTTGGTTGTCACTTCGCCCACGCCAACTCCTACCTCCACGCATGATAAAATCTCAAGTCGACGCCCCTGATATATATATTAATATATGGGGCATTCCACGCCAAGTGGGCCACCCATTTTGCGAAGTTCCATGGATTTCGTTCATATTGCGTGAACTTGAACAGTTTGATGAAGACTCTATGCCAAATAATATACCTGTAGGCCAACTGGTTACCGAACTGTAGAACCGTCAATTTTTGGGCTTTCTCGTTGCAGCGCTCTTTTCGCTTGTCGTTAGTGGGCATGAAAGGCAATTTTGAAAATAAAGTGCAGACGTATTCTTATAGAAAATTGAATGCTCTTTCACGTAAGAATATTATTTTTTTGATCAGACCGGTTTACGATGATGTTTTTCAGTTTTGAACTTTTCAAAATGGCGGCGCGACTAAAAAGCCGCTCTCAATTTTCTTTTAATATAGCTCAAAATGTAGCTCCAGGTCTCTACTTTGTTACTCTAAAAGGACTTAATGGCACACGCATTCGTTTGGGAGTAAGAGCTAGGAAAGTGAGGAAAATGAGTGGTGCGGCAGGGGGACGGAGCGACATTGCCTCACTTTCCTAGCTCTTACTCCCAAACGAATACGTGTGCCATTAAGTCCTTTTAGAGTAACAAAGTAGAGACCTGGAGCTACATTTTGAGCTAAATTAATTGAAAATTGAGAGCGGCTTTTTAGTCGCGCCGCCATTTTGAAGAGTTCAAAACTGAAAAACATCATCGTAAACCGGTCTGATCAAAAAAATAATATTCTTACGTAAAAGAGCGTTCAATTTTCTATAAGAATACGTCTGCACTTTATTTTCAAAATTGCCTTTCATGCTCACTAACGACAAGCGAAAAGATCGCTGCGACGAGAAAGCCCAAAAATTGGGTGGCCCACTTGGCATGGAATGCCCCATGTATTAATTGTTAGACACTAAAAAAGTAAAAGGAGAAAAGAATATAATGAAAGAGAGAGGGAAGAATCCTATTTCTTCCTATTTCTTCTCTCTCTCTCTTTCATCATATTCTTTTCTCCTTTTACTTTTTCAGTGTCTAACAATTTTTCTGAATGTCAGTTATAACGTTTCTAAATATTGACATAGCAATAATCAATTTTTATATCTAAACCCATTATCTCGATTTATAACATTGAATTATTGGATATAATCTTTATAATATTACGGTTTTACAATAATTTAAGGTACAATTTATGGTTCTTTGATATATGTTATACAATTTAATTTCAGACTAATTTAATAATATATCACCGTAGCCTTTGAATGTATTTCTACGCTTTCATTTTTATCATTCAATTGTGGAAAATAAGATTAACAATATGTCTATAATTTATTAACAATATATCTTATTAATTATTCATTATTTTTAATAACACAGGTCGACAACATTTTTACCCAGAAACCAGACTATACTTTTCCGAAGGTTTTCAATGCGCTGAATCCAAATCTGCCCGCAGAATTGCTCTATCACGTCAGGTTTGAGATATCCAGAGCGGAAAGTGCAAAAAACACCGTTTTTGCCCATATTTGAAGTCATATATACACGGCAGGTTTAATTTTTACAAAAAAGTTCACTCAGGGTCTTAAAGTACAAGTCTTCCGCTTTCAAATGGCGTTGAGTTTGCTCAAATTTCTTTTTTTTCCGATGAGATTTTGCAATTTTAAGTTTATGAAATTTCAAATTTTCTTGTATCTGAAAAATCATGGAAATAACATAGGTATGATGCAATATATCACTTTTTAGATTAACGAACAAAAATGTGTGAAATTCTCTAAAATCTTAATGCTTTTATTTGTAGAAAAACATATTCCATAAAAATTCGAGGTCAGTTATCAACAATTTTCTGAAAAACAAATCAAAAGTAGCTACTTTTATTCAGCTGAAATCACAAAACTAATGTAACAAACTGACTTTCTATAGTTCGTGATTAAATGGAATTTTTTGTTTGTTAATCTAAAAAGTGATCTATTGCATCACACCTACGCTATATGATTTTTCAGATATAGAAAAATTTGAAATTTTATAAACTTAAAATTAAAAAATCTCACTCAGACGGAAAAAAAAGATATTTGAGCAAACTCAACGCCATTTGAAAGCGGAAGACTTGTACTTTAAGACCCTGAGTGATAGAGCAATTCTGCGGCCAGATTTGGATTTAGCGCACCAAAAACCTTCGGAAAAGTGTTGTCGAGTTTCTGGGTAAGGAGGTCGGACTCATTTTGTTGACCTGTGTAATCGGTTCAATACAAAAATGAGTTAACTCTCTATTTTTACAAAATTAATATTTTTACATAATTAATAAAAAAAATTATTTTGTCAAGTATAATACTTAAAATATGATTAAAATC